GCCCCCCCCCCCCCCTTATCTTTTTTTGAATAGCCTCAGTAGAAACACTTCATTAATTTGTGTGGCCTCAATTTGAAGTTTGTTACCGTTTGGATTGCGTGGGCTGGTCTGAAATTAACCTTTGTGTTATTTATGAATAAAGAAGCAATGAATAGGATATCAGGGACTATTTAAACTGCTTAACCGAATAATTGTTTTACCCAGCTCTTTAAAACACCATTTACATATAATTGATGTACTAATTATGCGTGATTATAAATTTAATCCTTAAAGCTGGCCTCTCGATGAATCTCAGCTGAGCCGCACTGTGCTCGGCTAGCGCTGGTACCTGTTTATACTGAAATAATAGAACTGTTTTGCTTGGACTTAGCGTCCCATCCGGGTTGTCGCCCCCAGTAATTACTACTGATTACTGAGCCTCAGGTGGAGAGTCCATGCTATGTTCTAAGAATCAGCAGCTCCAACGTTTGGGTGTCCACATGGACTCATCTGTAGTAACCGCTTAGGGCAGGCTGCAGGGGAGCTCAGTTCTGGTCTGCTGACCTTAGACCCTCTAGCTGCTTGAGACAAAAACAGAGCTTGGATCAAAGACTGTTGGGGGTATGAGCGGGTTTCAGAAAGTCTGTGGAAAAATTGAACGATGAGTTTATTGGGTGCCAAAAAAAAAAATCAAAATCGATGCATAGTTTTTCTTTTTTAATATACATTTTCTGTGAACTTTTAAAGGCCCCACATACTAAGCTGAGCAAGGAATTCAGACTCAGGTACATGGGGTGGTCCTGAGGGTCTTCCCCGTTTGCCTCCGAAAGGCTCTCAGCTGCTCAGGTTTCAGACCAGAGCGCTAGTGCTCAGAGTCTGGTGGTGTTTACCCTTTGGGTGGTCTTGATGTTTACCTCACAGCTCTGCTTCCCTCCTCTCAGTGGCCAGGCTGGAGGTGGTAATAATAATAATAATAATAACGATAATGATAGCAACAAACATTCTTAAGTGCTGACTGGACCAGGCATTGAGCTAGGCGCTCAACATACTGAATTTCGCTTATTCCACTCATCAGCCCCTTAAAAACAGGTGCCATTGACATATCCGTTTTGTACTGAAGAACGAGGTCTCCAGAATTTAGGCAATGCACCCAGGGCTCTGTCCCCAGAGACCTCCCTTACCTGCCATTTTAACACCACTGTGTGGATCGAATGAGAAACACTTCCTGAGTGTCGTGTGGAGTCCGGTGGAGATAGCGAACACCAGGCACGCGCATAGTTATTAGCGTTCTGTTCCCTTCGATCTGACCGGGTGTGCTGGGATGAGGCTGCAGATTTGAGAAGCAACGTAGAAACCTGCTGTGCTGGTCTGGCTAGCTCTGGTTCCAGTTGTGCACTCGGACCTCGAGGGCCCCCTCTCCCCAGTTTGGTTGGTCCTGGCCACTCGCACGCGCTCCCCCAGACTGTGGCAGCCACTGTCTCTGCCGGCACACCCTCGCTTCACTGTCCTTTTTCTCCCCTGGGCTTCTACCCAGTCACCTTGGTAGAAGGACCTAGGAGGACTCCGTCTTCACCCTTTCTTCTGAAAGGAACCAGAGCACTGTAGAGTGAAGCTGAGCACAAGACAAGCAGTGGCGAAGCACCGGCGGTGTCCAGAGCCAACAGGGCACAGAAGCTCAGTTCTCCTTCAGAGGGGTCTTTGGGAGGCCATCTTGTGTTGACCTTGCAGATGTCTCTAAGCTCTTCAGACGCAAGGGTTTACACTGCTGCGACTTAATGAGTTGGGTTAATTATTTGAAGAGAGACTATTCTCACAGACCTTGAAATAAGACACATGGACAAGGAGAAATGAGCCTTGGGTCGTTGTCATTAACGCGTGCTGAGCTCATTACGGCTGTCGATGAGCAAACTGTGAAGTCCACTTCATTGAAGGACTGATTGACAGGAAAAAGGAACCGCCAGAGGGCATCTTCTTTAAGTTCAGTCAAGTAAAGACGGAAACCGGTCTTCCAGGTTGACGCGAAGCATAGGGTGGCTTCGGCAGAGGTGACCACGTGGGGCCTTTGTCTCCGCCAGCCTCCCATGCATGCTCCTCCTTGGATTCTGAATTTTTCTGACAGCATCTTGGCTCCAGCTGACACCCTACGGGTGCTTTGTGCTCACAGGTCCTGGGTCAGCCCTGGTGTCCCTGCAGAGCTGGCTCTCCTGACGTGGCCTTGCCTGCCAGTCAGTCAATGCTCTGCCCTTCATGACAGACCTCCAGCTTGGCGGGGTATTCCCTTTATTCTGGTCTCTTCTGGACTCAGAATAACAATAACTACTCATTTCGTTTGGCGCTTACTGTCTTCGCAGGCCTCTATGAAACACTTCATAAGTATTTCTCACGTAATCCTCACCACAGGGTTAAGATGGCAGGTCCGTGTGGACCCTGGGTTCCCAGCGGCTCTTGGCGAGGGCTACAGTTATGGCTCTTCAGTCTCCTCCTTCCCTCTCCCCTCTGATCTCGAGTTGGTCTCCCCTTTGCTTCTTCGGGTTCATTATTTCTAGTTTATTCTGCATTTTGCCTCCCTTGAGTATCTTGCACCTCTCCTTTTACCTAGCAGGTGCTCGCTAGATGCTGGGGAGTTCGTAAACCAAAGCCGAGGTCACTGAACAGCCGGGCGTGGTTCTGTTTCCTGGCAGCCCCAGCACCTGTCCACGCTGGGGCTTCCTTTTCCAAGGAGACTCCACGCATCTCTCCGTCTTGACACCAGGCCGAGGGTAGTGCCCTTCAAATCAGCAGTGGGGCTGTGGCCCCGTGTCCTAACGTGTTGTTTCGAAAACCGCAGCGGATGCCGTGAACAACGCAGCAGGCTTCGGGTTCAGCGGAGTGGACGAAAATGGAAATTTCTGTTGGGATCTGCTCTCTAACCTAAACATCTGGAAGATCGAGGTGAGTGCACTGTGCTTTTGAATCCAGCATCTCTAGTCAGTAGCACACCTGGCGTCCTTGGAGGGCAGATTTCTGGAATCCTTCAGAGTGTCTGGGGGAAAACCCACTCTCGGGGAATTGTTGGGGCCGGAAGCTCCTGGACATTTTGCAGTTCCGATTTTTTTTTTTCCCTTTCTTGTTCGTTTCTGATATCTACTTTCTTGATGGTTTAAATGGTTTGAGGAAGAATGACACAAGAAATATGAAAAGGAGCCAGGGACATCTTTCTACTGTTTACATTCCTCCTCTTCTGACCAGCAAGCCCAAATGTCATCTTCTCCTGTTCACATTCTCCTTGTTCGGTGGAAGGTGCAGACGAGAAGCCCCTGTATTTAGGCTCTCTGTGGTTCCTTGGAAATACTTCCATCTCCTTGCTTTGACGAAGAATCGGCAGAGAGCGCGGCTCTCAGGCCGTGAGGGTAGCGTGGTCTCCCTCTTCCCCTGTCTCTTCTCTGGTCTGTCGTCAGCTGCACAGGGGTCTCCTGGGACCACATCTCTCTCGGTGATTTTGGCATGGCCAGCGTTTGGAGTGGGCAGGGATGCTCAGTCATCAGCTCTTTCCCCTGCAGCTGGGTGAGGGGCAGGGCCTGGTTCTCAGCACACACACGTGTCAGCTCCTGGCAGAGATGACTCACATTTGCTGGCGGTTTTGGTTTCCCTCCTACGCCAGGGCAGACTGAGTCCTGGGAGGGCTTGGACAGAGGGGGCCGTGCCTGTGGAGCGAAAAGCTAGGGACGTGTGGTGGCTGCCCGCGTCCCAGCTACGTTTGGTGGAAACCAGGCCCAAAGGAGACGTGAGGAATGCCTGTGTGTCTTATGCCCGAGGCCTTTGCGTTTGGACAGCCTCCGGAGGGACAGAGATCTGCATTCCACCTCACGACGTTCGTGGAGTCTGTAGGGAGGATTATGCTCCTGCTGCTTTTCTAGCATCGAGGCCTTGCCACTTCAGAAGGCGAAACGGCAGCAGTGGAGCTGTCGGCTAGACGGCATCACACATGCAGCCTGAACTCATGCGCGTTCGGCTGCTCAGCTCAGTCAGGTAGGACAGGTAGTAACTGAGTACCCGCCACGGCCAAAGCTCCCACTTTTGAATATTTCCTGAGGATCCAGAGACTCCTGTGGGCAGCAGATGTGGCAAGAACATGCTGAAGGCCTGGAATCGGTTCTGAATGGGTAGCTCACGCTCTTTCATGCACGGCAAGAAACGATGCCCTGTCACAGTCTGCATATTGCGGACGGACGCGTCCCAGCCTTCAGAGCGAACTTTCTCATTTCGGGAAAAGCAGTACAGGCCGGAGACCCTTTTTCTGAACCGCCTGGGATGGGAAGTGTCTGGTCTGGGACTCTCTGCAAACAGGTCACGAGACAGGTGGGAGACAGGCAGGACTCCAAGTCGAGACAGGACCTTCACTTCCGGTCCACTTACATCTTGTACCCATAGCCCGAGGGTAATTTCATGTCGTTATTTTTACAAGGAAGTCTTTAAACAGTTTGTGGAAAATGCATTTTATAGAAAAAAATCTATACATGGGGTTTAACATTATTTGTTTGCACCAAAATAAACCCCGTTTGTTAATTCCGGGTTGCCACAAACTTTTTGAAGCCCCTGGTTGTTCCATCATTTGACTGTGACTCATCCCATGAGGTCAGAGGTGAATTTTCCACTTGTGATGGTGTGTGGGTACTCAAAAAGTTTTGGATTTTGAAGCATTTCCGATTGCAGAGGTTTGGTTCGGGCTGGTCAACCGGCCTGGATAGTCCACGAGCTTCTCTTTTCTCTATAGAAGATGTCACAGTCTGAGTTCTGTAATGCTTTTCTTCCTCCAAATTTGTGGCCTTGAGTGACTCTTTCGAGAGCTATGGGTAGCTTGCCTTTCCCTTCAGCCACCTGCTGGTTCACCCCAGCTCTGAACCAAAAGCCAGAATCCTCTCCCTGTGGCTACGTGTTCAAGGCAGAGGGCTCAGTTATTAAGTTGGGTATTTATTATAAAAGACAGCTGGAAAGCTTATATTTCCATTGTATTTGATGGAGGGCAATGAGCTAAAAACAGAAAACAAAGACCAAGAAGCCTGATTTAGTTCAAGTACCTCGAGGCTATACTTAGAGCATTTTATTAGCCCCAGAAGAAATGGATAAGTTTCCAGGGTTTTGCAATAAAAACTCACATTAAACAATGATTAATCTATCTTGTCGTTATCCTCTCTCGGTCCCCTGCCCTTCTAGTGGCCTCCTCTCCTTTCTCCTTTCCTCCCTCCCCTCTTATTGGCTATTACATTAGGCCAAGCTGTGCCCTATTTAGGATGTTTCTTGTGGTTGAAGAAACTTCAGGGAAAAAAAGTGGCACCCTCTCTTCGCACCTTCGTTTTCCACCCTTTGTAGAAATTCTGGTCCTTTTATGTTTGCTTCATGCTTTTAACTACCAGCCTTTGCTAAGACTTTTTTGTTTGTTTTTTTTTTGAAATGGGAAAAGACTCAGTTAATGGCTTATTTAGGGATGACTCTTCCTCAGTGGTTGATTTTCCTGCATCCTTGCCAGTTGGGTGATATTTCTTTGTTTTCTTTTCTGTATTGGGATCCCTTCATGCGTAAAATCTCTTCCCAGACACAACTGAAAGCTTCTGAACCTGTGTAACTGTTATAGAATTAACTACTCAAGACTGACCTAGTTTGATGGCCACATAGCGAAAAGATGACAATCGAATTTAAGCTGTCTCCGGGAAGGCACTACGTGGACATGTTAAACTTCTCCTGTGGCCCATCTTCTCTTAGAGTATTTAGTTTTAAAATTCTGATGACTTAAAACATTTTAAGCCGAGTGGCAGAGAAACCCATAAAATGTTCCTTCCACTTTCCTATAATTTGAATATAAATTTTTAGAAAAATTGTGCTTAAAATTGCAGGCCACATTTAGTCGCAAAGTGAGTCTTATAAACACCCGGAGAGTTCATTGTGTGGGGTGGAGAGGCTGCTGTCTTTTGGAATGCAAGTTGCTATCAACATACCTCATCTCATCAGCTGCCAGGGAAACTCTGGGGAGGACTTTCCATTTCTCGGGGTATTTTTAAAGCTAATGATAGGTGTTATTTTCTTCTTTCTAGACTGCCACAAGTTTCAAAATGTACTTAGAAAACTGGAATATTCAGACAGCTGCTTGGCTAAAGTGGTAAGAAAAACCAAAACAACCTCTTTTCTCCTAGCCTGAGGCTGGGTTTAGATGGGGGTCACAGGACTAGCAGTATCGTCTGCCAATGGTAATGTCACCTGACTGCGGTGGTGACCCACACCCCAGAGCTGGACGCTGTGACCGGGGGCGGTCTCACTGTAGCACATTTATCTTGTCACTTACTGCTGCCATGACCACGTCCCGGGCCCTCACTTACTCTTCTTCTCGGTCCGTGAAGCACTGGCAGCCCCCTCCCCATTTTAGAGGTGAGCGAAGTGGGACGCATAGATCAGGCAGCACACCGCTGGTGTACAGTAGGGTCAAGCCAGAGAGGTCCGTCTGCAGCGCTGGTCTTGCCTCTGCTGTGCTGCTGCCTGCACAGGGAGTGGCTGGCCCCCCGGCGGGCGGTGGCCTGCCACTCGGGCGTCCAGGAGGGTTGTCAGCATCCCGTCCCTGACAGCCAGGCTGTCCCCGGCTTAGGAACTTTGTGGTCCCCAGATACTGACACTTGTTAAATTGATATTCTTGTCGATACCTCCGGGTTCTTCCATGTGCCTGAATTAGGAACGTTCCATTTTCTTGAACACGACTTACTTGGAAGCAACACCCCCCCACCTCCCAGTGAGCATGCCCACCATGGTGAGAGTGGGATGGGGTAGGACAGCGAGCTGTGTCCCAGAACTCCCTGCTCTGGATGAGTGGTGTCCTTCCCAGGTCAGCGTGTCGGGGTCAAGGACGAGACTATGTGTAGCAGTTCCCTCAGAGAAGGCCCCCAACATGCAAGTTGTGGAATTTTTGCCTTCATGTTATCGCTGTGAGCTGATTTTGCAAATACTTTTTTTTTTTTTGAGAGAGAGATTTTTCTATAGGGCGTGCGTGCTCGCCAGAGAGACAGAAAGCAGGAAATCACTCCCCAGGGGAAATGGCCACACTGCAATCCCTTCTCCTCCATGCTCCTTTTGGGATCTTGGGCATGCATGCACACATTACCAGGTGTGAATTTTAGGCTGCCAGGTCTGGGACCTGAACCGCGGTCGGCTATATGAGAGTCCAGCGACATAACCATTATGACATCGGCTGGTCCTTAATTTTCTAAATAGTTTGAACAGAAACCTCCGTTTCTGTACACTGAGGAATCCTAGTATGCTCACTGTACATCTCCGTGAGGGTTTACATCTGGAGGGGGCTGAACATACAGGTGTGCATGTAAAACATGAAAATACAAAGAGCCGTTTTCCGAAATAAAATCTTTCATTTATACAAAAAGAGACAGAGAAGAAGAGACTCCTCACTTCAAACAGAAATGTTCCCGTTGGGGGCTTTGTTCCGCTTATCCCCCCAAGTGTATTCTCTTTCTTGCACGAAGAGGAAACTGGAATCCTTAGTCTGGATTTAAATCGGTTACTTTCCACAGCTCAGGCAGTACTGGGTTGGGGTTCACTGTGTGAGTTTCCATTTTGTTTATTATCTGGGTCCTCTCATTTCATAAACCATGTGGTAACTTCCTTGTGGTGGTGTTTGCAATTCCTAGACGGAGTTTGGGGAGGACCCGCTGTCACCTTGGTTTAATAAACAGGAAGCCCAAGATCTCCAGAGTATTTGCCACGTGTTTCTGGATCTGCTTCGCATCACTCTTTCAGGCAGACTAGGAGGTGGGACTCCCGTGGACACTGAGACCTGAGGAGGTCACAGGACTGGTGCTTTGATCTTACCCTGGTCTCACTGTCAAAAGAGATGAGAAGGATTGTAGTGTTGACTGGTTAGGTGACTAAGGGACTTGGCTAGAAAAGTAAATTAATTTTGACTAAATGGGGATTTCCGTTTCTTTTTAAAGTTATTTCTACCGTGAGAGAGAGCAGGACAGATGGAAAGAGTCTCCCAACCTCACGCTCAGATTATGGGCATGCACTGTCTTGTCTACTAAGGGAGGTCCTGGAATGTGGACCCAGGACCTTTTCCATGAGGGTCTTGTTGCATTACTACTGCCCCACCACTTGGCCCAAGAGGGTGTCCATTTCTGAGACCCTTACGTTGATTCCAAAATGTTTAATACAGTGGCACTTGAGTAAGGAGCCCTAGTACATTAGGTCATTGGTGGAATGAGGTGAGGCAGGAACTCAGCGACTGAGTGACTGTCAGACCTTTATTAGGAGGAGTGAGACGGTGTAGACCACTTAGGCTGTGGAGGTTGGAAATCTATGAGCTCTTCTGAAAAGGCCGAGCCTGGAGATGCCTGCCTGGTAGTACCGAAGGGTATTGAAGGGCGTGGGCTGCGTGGACTGCCTTACAGGTCCCTTCAGTATAGGCCTGTGGTTTCCATGTGGTCTCATCCGAAAGGAAGCAGGTGTGGCTAGAAGTTTCTGGTTCGTCTCGTCCATGGCTCGTTCTTCTCTTCACAGTGTGTGCTATGAGCGGGCTTCGTGGAACCCCACGGTACTAACCTTCATCCTGTCTGCTCTGTGGCATGGAGTCTACCCTGGATACTACTTTACCTTCTTAACTGGAATCCTGGTCACATCGGCTGCTAGAGCGGTAAGCTTCCTTTGCGTGTAGGGTCTTTTCCTTAGCTACGGGACACCGTGTGACCTCTTAGGCCCTAACAGGAGTTCAGGGTGAGGAGGTGGGGGGTGTGAGGCTTTGAAACACCAAACAACATACAGAAGTCTTCCCATCAGAAAAATACTTCACTATACAGGAACATGTGGCCATTACAAAAATGGTTAACCGTTTTATTTTCATATTATTTACAGGAGGTGTTAGTAAGACAAGATATTTTAGGAGAACTCTGGGGTACCTTAAGAGATGAAGACATTTTTAGTCATTAAAGGCTGTGAACCCACACAGTCTACTAATCACAGGTGGGAGAGTTAGTCGTGAAGGTGAACTCGGCAGGACTGCAGTTTGCTAACCCCCTGATGGACTTCCATTTCCTTACCCTGAGCCGGCAAGTGATTGACAGGGGTTCTGAGCAGCCGATGAGGTGGCAGTTGGTGGAACTATGTCTGTCAGAGATCAGTCCAGCCGCTTATGTTTTCATGATCCGGTTAACTTAGTTTGGGTCAAATTCTTTGTGAGTTCTATAAATTTAGTTCTCTAAGTTTTTCAAGGAGCTTTTAGTTTGTTCTAGAATGTTCCTGCTGTTTGCCTATTGTACAGCAGGATAATAAAGGAGTGAAAAAAGTGACTATCCTTAAAGAAGAAGATAAGCATGTGTAGAAGTAATTGTGGGTAGAAATAATTGTGCGCTGGAAAAGCCAGATCCCGCATGGCCACTGTGGTTTGAATCCCCAGCCCGGTCAGCCTGGAACACACTGGACACAGGTGTGAGTGTCTAAGGGCCTTTGGACTGGAGGGAGGTGATCACAGTGTGGCCAGACCCAGTTACCTCTCTCCTGTCTCTTAGATGGTCTCTTTCCTGAACAAGAGAAAAAAAAAGAAATTGCAATTCAAAGTACTTTTATTGTCCAGTACAGAGTTTATATTCAGTACCTTTCTTTCTTTCTTTCTTTCTTTCTTTTTTTAAATTTGCTATAGGGCGTATGTGCTCACTAGAGAGAGACAGAGAGTGAGTGAGAGGGAGAGAGAGAGAGAAGAAAAGTGAGAAGGCACACTTGGGGGATGGCCACATGGCGATCCTTTCTCCATGTCTCCCTCCTTTCAGGATTTTGGGCATGCTTGCACACACGCCTGGCATGTTTTTTTCAAGCCTCTGGGTCTGGGCCCTGAACCCCACACCTGGCCACAAGGGGTCCAGCTGTGCTTACCACCACTCTATCCACTGGTCCTATATTCAGTTCAGTCTCAGTCTTGGATAATGATCGTGGCCTTCCTCGTTGCTGAGGCCAGGAGCTTGGATGGTGTCCATGGACCTGTATGCTGGATGTATTTAGAAGTCACCATCAGCGGTTCATTCTTTAATCCCTTTGTTCTGTGACTATGTCAGGAGCCTTGGTACGTGCCAGTCAGTGTCCCAGGTCCTGGGCTGTCACAGTTAGCAAGAGCACCCCCACCCTCAGAGAACCGTATCTTAGCGAGACGAAGGTGTGTTGGAACCCACGTGAGTGAGTGGGGACTTCATCTCTCTTAATGCTTAAAATCACGTGCACATGGTATGCAGACAAGAGGGGGTGTGTTCCCTCCCCTTGTTCAAACCTGGAGTACAGATGTCTAGGCGGCCTGAGAAGGGAAGGTCGGAATTTTGTCTGCCGAGACGTTGAGAGGGCCATTCCTGATGCCGTCAGGGCTCAGCCTCAAGAGGCGTCAAGGCTGTGGCTTCTGTGGAGCCTTTCTCCTGGACGCCTGGAAACATTTTCCACAAATAAGTCGTAATGTGTAGGGCATGGAAGGTGAGGGCCTGTAGAACCAGCTTTCTGTTTTCCCAGAAGAATAAACTCGACAGTCACGGAGTGGCTTAGGCCCTGGAAGGTACCCACTACCAGCTCATGCCCAGTGCCCAGCGTGGCCCTGGGGCTGCGACCCTGGGCTCTGAACTGGGGCTTGGAGGGCCGAGGAGAGGCGTCCATTACTCCCTGTTCCCGTCTTGGGCTCACCTGCCTGTAAGCTGACTGTTCTCAGCTCTGCTTTTCTTTATGTTTTTTCCTTTTTCTACCTATTTATTTTATGCAAAGAGTTTATTTCTTTGAGAGAGAAGGAGACGGGCAGACAGACACAAGGGCACCTCCATCAGGCCTTTCTGCCGTGCTCCACCCTCATCAGCCAGACTGGGTCACCTGCACGCGCGTGTGGGCGGGGTGGGCTCTGAGTCCCATGTGGGTTGGTTGCCTCACCACCACGCCCCGTCTGGTCTTGCCTTTGATCCCTGATTCTGGAAATGAAGCAAGCTCCTTGAGATGAGTGTAGCTACGTATATAAAAAGACACAGTATGCACGAGCGTGTCCTTCGGCCCAGCACGGTTCATTTCGAAGAGCTGTCTTTCCACCTGCAGCTGAGTCTCCCAGTCTGTGGGAGGGGAGTGGTGAGCTGAGGTGACAGGTCGTCCATCATCTCCCACGGCGATCCTAGGCTCGGCACATCGTGAGCACTGAATACTCGGAGCTGCGTCTCCTGTGAGCAATAGGAATATGGTCTGTACTGGCTGCTACCCAAAGGGAGCGATTAGGGACCCGCGCAGAAGTTTACTCACGGGGGTCCGCGTCGCGGAGTTGCTTGTACTAGCAAAACGGGTGGGAAGACAAGCTTACTTTTTCATAACTAACTTAAAAGCATATTGGAGGTTAACATTTCCTGATATGTAAGAAAGTTCGTGGCATATTACTAAATTAGAAAAGAGCCTGGAACAGATTGGGTCGTTGGAAAAGTCATGATGCATTCTTGCATTGGAAAATGTAGAAGAATACGTCATGACTTTTCCAATAACCCAGTGCATCGGTGTTACTAAGAATGTAAATGTGGGCACGTAACACTAGAGAAAGCCTTTGAAGGCTACATGCAGAGGTTTTAAATTGTGCTTCTCTTTGGGAGATGTTAAAAGAAATTTTTTTTTGCTTACTTAAAACATTTATTTTTCTTTTAATTTTTTCCGAGGGCACATGCACTCACTGGAGAGAGACAGAGTAAGAGCGAGAAGGCGAGAAGGTACCCCCATGGGGAATGGTCATGCTGCAGTCCCTTCTCCATTTCTCTCTTTTCTCAGGACTTCGGGCACACACATGCCCAGTGTGTTTTTCAAGCTGCTGGGTCTGGGACTCAGACGTACAGTTGGCCACATGGGATCCAGCCACCTTAGCCACTACACCACCGACAGGCCCAATTGTTGTTTAAACATTTTTCTATGGTGAACTTGTGTGTGTGTGTGTGTGTATTTTTATTTTTATTTTTATTTTTTAGTAAGAAGAGGCATAGTACTCTTTGCAGTTGAAAATAGAACTCGGGTGGCGGTGTGTATGGTAGGCTCCATGAACACTCTACTGGCGTCCATGGTGTCACAGTGCTTTTGTCTTCACTCCCTCCTCCTCACCTTTGCCTTCCTTGGCTTGCAGGTAAGGAACAACTGCAGACACTACTTCCTGTCTTCCAAGGCGCTCAAGGCCGCGTATGATGTGGCCACCTGGGTCGCCACCCAGCTGGCTATGTCGTACACCGGCGCCCCGTTTGTGATGTTGGCGGTGGAACCAGTTGTCACCTTATACACGTGAGTCTGCGCGTGCTCAACGCTGTCTGTACGCAGATCTGCCTTCTCTGCCTCTTAGCGGTTGGCGGACTGAATCGGGCCGTGCTAAGAGTTTCTAAATGTGGCTTCAGTGTGCGCGAGGCCAATGGGCAAGCTTCAGGAGGAAGTCCTGCAGATAGCAACGCTTAAACACCAACACGGAAAGCCCGATGGCCAGGTGTCCCTTCAGCCGTGCTTAACATCACGGAGGGTGCTCCTGGCAGTGCTGGGCTGGATCTTGACTGAGCTCTTAGAGGGTGAATCGGCTGCCCTTGGCCCTTTTCTTGGGACCCAAGCTATGGTGGAGGGTGGCACCGCTGGGATCCACTGACCCGAGTGGTCTGTAGAAGGTTCTATGCCATTGGCAGAGATGGCAGCTCTGAAGGGAAGCATCAGGGCTATGGTCCCAGCTGCACATGGCGTAGGGAGTGCTGGCATTTTGCGGGGAGGATCAGGGGCACACCAGAGACCAGAGGCCTTTTGGACAAGGCTGTTGGGCCTAGTACTCAAATATCCGAACTCCAAATGAAACGCAAACCCATAATTGCTTCCTTTCGTTGTTTTTCCCTTCGGTGTAATGGTTATCTTTCTCGACTGTTGTGAGCTGGTTGAGCCATGGTCTCGCATACTGAGCGTGTGGCCTCCGGCAAGTGTTTAACCTCCCCTACCTGTGTTCCCTCAGCTGTGAAATGAGGCTAAGAATAGACCCTACTTCCCAACACGTTTGTTGGGACTCAGTGTTAGCCCTGGGGGTGGCACACGTGCACAGGGCTAGGCCTCACCTGGAATGTGGTCGAACTTTAGTCCACACTACCTCGGCTGAGTTCATACCTTGCACAAGCTGTTCTAGGTTAACTAGAGGCCCTAGCAGGGTTCAGGAAAGTGACTTAGAAATTAAAATACAAACATACCTTATTTGTAAGTTGGGGATCCCCTGTAGCTGAGGGACTGGTCAGGAATGGACCCGTGAAACTAACTGCTTTATACATATGTCCCTGTCCCATGCTTCCGTGGCTTTACCCCTCTTAATTGCCAGGGGAAACGTGCAGAGAGAGACAGACAGAAAAGCCCCCCGGTGAGGGGTGGTCACGCTGCGGTTGTTTCTCCTGTATTTCTCCATCATGTCAGGACTTGGGGCACACATGTGTACAGCATGTCCTTCAAGCCCCCGGGGTTGGGGGCTGAAACGCGGTCAGTGTGTGAGACCTGGCTCCCTTAACCACTAGGTAAAGGCCTGCCCTGGGGGTGGTTCCTTCGAGGTTAGGAGGAGAAGGTGAGAGCAGCAGACAACAGCCCTCAGTCAGGCCTGCTCTGCTGGGGCGTGTTCTCTGAGTGCCGGGTCGGTGCTAAGACATGCCAACACAACGTGGATGTCATGCTGCTTTATATACTCATCTTTCTTGGAAAGGAAGAATAGAATTAAAGTCTTCAGCCAGAAAAGGGGGGCAGGTCCTCAAGTCAGCCGTTACAGAGGTAGGAGCCCCTCTGACTCTGTGAGAAGAGTTGATAACACCTTCACAAGATGGTGTCCTTGGGCACTCCCAGCTGGCACTCTGGCTCTGCCCAGCCTCTGGCCAGCCCCACTCACTCGGGCTTGCCCTCATGCCTGCATTTGCCCTCTTCTGTCACCTGCACGTTTAACACCCCCCACGGCAGCCTTCGCCCATGGAGCCGTCTGCTGGGGCTGCCCAGAGCACTGTCCCGGGTGCTTGTCTCAGTCATGCTCTGGCTACTTGTCCAGGTTCTCAGCGACCTGCTTCTAGCTCAACTTTCCCCACAAGCCCTGGGCTTCTGAGTGCATGATGGGTCATGTGTGAGGCCTCTGTGAATGCATGGGTCATGCCAAGGCAGAATGCCCGTGTTCAGTTCACGGTCGTTGAACACCTGCAGGGAGGATGGGGAGCAGAATATAGACACTGTCTGCCCCCACGGAGGTGAGAGCCCGCTGGAGCAGACAGTCAGTCATCGGGGCCGTGTAATGCATTCCGAGTGTGTGCGCATGGACGGTGCCATGTATGACACAGCTCACACACAGGAATCTGACCCAGCCTGGGCACTGGAGGCAGCTCTGGGAGCAGCTCAGTCCTGGAGGCTGGGCAGTGGGAGAGAAGCAGGCAGTGTGTGTGGGGGCAGTGGGCGAGGTCGGTGTGGTGGCCCCAGTGTGGTGGCCCCTGCTGCAGACACCAGAAACTGGAGAGAAGGCCCTGAGTAGGAGGGAGCCCCGGGCACGGAAGACCGGAGACCTGAGCTTGGGCAGAATGTAGACCCTGTGGTGCAGTGTGATGAGCCGAGGAGAGGGGGCAGGCTCAGTGTCCTTGTCCCCTCGGTGGGAGTGGGGGCTCAGTGGGTGAGCAGTGTCACAGAACACACGCAGCAACTACATGCTAGCCCCAGGTTTCAGCCCCCAAGGTCCTGTAACAATAAGGTCGTAGTGTGGTGACCAAACGTTTCTTTAGGAGAAGCCATTTAGGCAGCAGGCGGCTGTGGGGTCTCGCTATGGTTGGCCTGTGATAAACTCACTGAGCCGGCTAACCATTGCCAGTGTCAGTGCTTAGGGGCTCAAAGGGCAGAATCCGATTAGTCTCAATAGCTTTTTGCTTTTAAAAATCACTCTAGAATAATATATATAAATGTGTGTGTGTGTGTGTGTATATATATATATATGTATATATATATAAACTCTGCTTAGGATCAAACAAAATTAACATCTTCTTCAATCCATCCTGTTTCATAGAGCATCCAGGCCGTGTGTCATCTGGTTATTGGGGTGCCCCTGGTCCACATTTCCCAGTGAGCATTGGAGATGTAACTAGCCAGGCTGAGGGGCTGCACTTCCAGTTGTGTTTAATTCTAATCCGTGTGAACTGTAACGGCCACGTGTTCCCAGCCGCTGTTACAGATCAATTGTGCCTCACAGAATGTTCTCGGGGTTTCTTAAGAGAATCCCTGAGTGTGGTGAAAGAGGCCCCCCTGGCCTTCGATGGAGGCTGACTTTGGTTGCATTCCGATCCAGTTGTCATCTGGGAGAACCAGTATCTGGTCTTGAACCACACTGTAGGCAAATCCATTTCTCAGTATAGTCTTGGTTGCTTCATATTTAAATATCTATTATTTATTTATTTTTTAAGAGAGATTTTCTGCTATAGGGTGTGTGTGCTCATTGAAGAGACAGAAAGAGACAGACAAAAAGGGAGAAATCACCCCCGGGGGGATGGCCACACTGCGATCTCGTCTCCTTTGTTCTCCTCTTGGGATTTTGGGCATGCACACAAATGCGCCCAGAGTGAGTTTTAAGTCACTGGGTCTGGGACTCGAACCATGGTCTACCAGGTAGGAGTCCAGTGACGTAACCATTACACCATCTGCTGGTCCCTAAGTTTCAGTATTTTAATTTCACGGTAGAGGCCCATGTACACACATAACAGAGAGCGCGAGAGACGAGAGCTGACCTGTCACACAATGATCTACTGTAGCCTGCGTCTCACCAGGGTCATGGATGAGTGCATGCTCACCCAGCGTGTTCCAGGCCCACCAGGCCAGGGTCCAGGCATGCACCAGGCCGAACAGCTTCTGCACATAACCGCCTCTGCCACAGAGGCTGGGCCTAGATTGTCTTTATTATTTTTTTAAGGTCTTTGCCATAGGGCATTTGTGTTTGCAGGAGAGAGGTCCCCCCACGCCCGTCTCCAATCCCCCTAAAGGATGGCCACATACAATCCCTCCTCCTCCGTTCTCCTGGGATTTCCAGCACACAGACACATGCCCAGCATGAATTTCAAGCCACCAGTCCAGGACTCGAACCATGGCCAGCCTCTTGGGAGTCTAGCGCCATAACCATCATGCCACCTGCTGGCCCCTAGATAACATTTTCTTAAATTCACTGTGTGAGAGTGTTGGGATTTGCATGGAAACTTTTGTAGATAGCAAACTTCTTGAGAGCAAAAACCCATTCCGTAGTCTTCTTTGTATCTGAAGTACTAGGTAATGCCTTGCATACGCTGTGTTAATTGAGTTTGTTTCAGAATTGAAAGATAAAATATTCTTTAACATTTTAGAGAAATGCGGACCAACAGGCTATGTTGCTAACCTTACCAGGAGATTGAAAATCTCCCCCTTAATTGCCAAAGGATTTTGATGGAGTCTGACATAACAGCTCCAGTGTAGATTTGGCCACGTGTGAAAGATTTCAGGCAAAACACAAACATTAAGTTGATTTCAGATGTGAGACTTTGAAAGCTGGGACTCCCTCTGGCCAGGGTGTGCCTGTGGGGATCTGTTTATAACTGCTGACCCATCCTTACCTGTAGATCCCTTTTTTTACTATCAGTGTTGTTCCGGTGTAGACCGTGACCTACAAGGTCCCTTGCTGTGGCCGTTGACGCTTCCCTGGTTCAGTGACCCCTAATCTCAATGTTCCCACCCTCTCTACCTCGCCAAGGGAAGGGGTCATGATGGCTTATGCTTCCTATGGGCCCCAGTATAATGTGTCATGCGCCCTGGACAGGAAATGCTCTTGAGAGAAGAAGTGAATAGAGACAGGTTTCTTCTGCTAGGACTCTTGACTCTTCGGTTGACACGGTCAAGACAGTCTTTCTCCTGGTAGAGAGCGGGGACATTTAAGCCTGTGTGAGTTATCTGAGTCGAACGGGCCTGGCCTTATAGAAGCGGCGGCATGATAGAGAAGTCAGCTGACATTTCTTCTCTTGACACATTATTTTCCTTTCATTTTCAAAAATCACTGGAGAAAGTGTAAGTCCAACCTTTGCAAACGGATCCAGAACAGTTCTGTTAACTCCGTTTGCTGACAGGCCCGGTGTTTATCAGCTTGGTGCGTACCGTGCCAAATACCACGCTCTGCTCGGCAAGTCACGAACCTCAAAAGCACAACTTGTTTCTTCGTTGTTTGCATGAAAGTTATTTTCAGGGTTCTAGGCTAGATTTTTCAAACTCAGGATCTTTCTGTTTTTTTATAAGCCACACAATAAGAAGAGCGTGTGGATTAAAACGTTAGGTTTGTGTTTAGGAGATAGTGTTGGGATTGAATTTGTCTGCATCATTAGACTTTGAATATTGGCGGTTTCTAGCTGTCACGGCTTGGTCTGCTTGTTACCATACCACGTCTAGCTGCAGAGGGACAGCCCAGATCCGTGGTTTCAATCCGGCTCCGGGCTGCTCACCTACAGAAGACAGTTATCCGTGAGGGGATCGAGGCACACTCAGTGTAGACGTGTCTGCTACGGCTCTCAGCAGTGCCTCACGCACCTTACTGAAGGCGATGAAATTGGGTGACCTTGCCAACCCGTGTTTCCTGGTTTGCAATACCAATTTTGTGTTTTCTCCCTAGGTCCATGTACTTCTACTTACATATCATAAGTCTTCTGATAATACTCTTCCTGCCAATGAAGCCACAAGCTCGTACTCAAAGACGGCCCGAGACTCTGAACTCTGTTAGTAAGACGAAAACCGATTGATACCTCGGGGAGAAGCCGAACACGTGAAACGACAGCGCATTTGGAAGATGGGAATGTCGGAAGTTCAAGGGCTCTCCAGTGACCTAGAGATGTTTACATGCATTTTAAGTGCAGGGAGTATTTTTATAAAAGGCTTTTGTACAGTGACATCGGCCATGTCCAACTTACTAGTTTTAATATTTTAGAGGACATTTGAGTGCCTGGAGGTGTGAGGAGAACGTGCCTGGGCTCAGAGACAGTCCACCTGGGCTGTTGGGTCTTGGGGTTTCTGGCACAATTTCCGGCCTCTGAAATCTAGATGCTGAGAACCCAGGCCTCGGCTCCAGGCGTTAGAAGGTGCTTGCTGAGACGACTTACAGGTTCCGTAAACTGAGCATACCCAGAGGTGGTTGTCCTTGCGAAGTCCCAAACCCTCAGGCTTGCGACGTCACTGTGTGCAAACACAGGAAGTGCTCAGAAGACCGAGGAAAGGGGAGCCGTGCAGGGGGTTTGCAGGTGCTGAGAATTCTGTGACCCAGGACACTCACCGGGAACCATGGCGTGGCCGAAGCCAGGCAGGCCTGTGAGCAGGCTGCGTCCCTCCACCCCGCAATGGAGCCCCCGCTCTTTGGAACTGAACCAAGATTGGTTCCAGGGGTCTCTGGTACGTGGGATCAGGGGCCGGGGAGGGGCCGTCTCCTGAGTTTTCCATTTCACACGTGCCATCTGCTTGCCAAGGAGTGGCCCTGAGAGGACGCGCCAGACGGGATTTGGAGAAATACTTTTTATACGAGTAACTTCACGTGATGCGCAAGTCTGGTGGGAATCAGCGACCTGTCTCTTGTCTTCCTCCGTCTCACGGGGGTGTCCGTGGTCAGGGCCACGACCCTCGCGTGAGCAGCGTGGTCCCCATTAAATCCGGCTCCGAATTAGCGAATGGTCGCGCTGGAAAGAACTCCAAAGGCAGATTCCTCTCCCGTCTTCGCTTTGAATGTGCCCCGGTGCCTTTGGGGACTTGTGTCGGGGGATGCTCTGTGTGGGGGAAGGAAGCGTGCTATTACCTGTGATGAAAAATAATAATAATGATGATAATAATAAATGCTGCAGTGGGGTGCCCTCAATCGAATGGTGGGGAGGGGACAATTTGTTTGGATCAGATGATCAAAAAAATTAGTTTCTTACTGAATAAATTGTGTATTTCCATATGAAAGAAGTGTTTCTGAGTGGAAAAGTGTTTTTCATTTGTGTCAGTGGAGAAGTGTGTGTGTGTGTGTTTTAACGCACGGCACAAACACAAGGTTGTTTTTTTTTTCTTAAATTTCCAGAAGCTGCATGCACTTCCCAGAAGTCTCCCCAGAGAGAGAGAGTTAGAGAGAGGACTGAAGCACCCCAGTGGGGCATGGTCATGCTGTAATCCCTTCTCCATTTCTCCCTCCATACCCAGCTTTTACTGTTAGGTCATCTGAAAAGTCATGCTGTATTTTTGTATAGAAAAACAGAAAACTACAGCATGACTTTCCTGGTGATGTCATATGTGTGTGTGTGGATGTGAGAGAGAGGAAGAGGGAGGAGGGAGAGAAAGAGACACTCTCTAATCTCTGGAGATTTTGGTTTTTGTATGATTTCTAATCTTCATTTCCAATTTCATGGGTAAGATGTACGCCCCCCTCACCCCTACACTGGGAGGGGTGCTAACTGCCCTGTCTCTGATTCACAGTTCTCCCATTGTAGGTCCCAGGAGTGATCTCAGATGGTGTGTAGGGACAGCCACTATAGGAGCCTGCAGTCTCTCAGTGTCTGCCTGCAGCCTCTCAGTGTCTGCCTGCAGCAGGAACACCCTGAGGTGCACCGCCCAGGGAAACACAGCTCCTGCACTCTGGAAAGATGGGACCGCCTGCAGTGGCACCCGCTGTGCGGCACAATCCGTTTACAGTGAGGTCTTGGGACTTGCTCTGTGACTTGCAACCAGGGTTCACCGTATTTAAGTATCTTCATTTCTTTAGGTTTAAAATGAATTAAAAGCCGTTTTTAGAGTTTATTTCTTGAGTCAGAGG